CTGAGGAACTGATTTCACATGGGGAGAATGCTTATAGGCCTTCTGTTTCAATTCAGGACTCAATGATCCTGACATAATAAAGGAGGTAACTGCTGTTGGAAAGGAAGTCCAGCAAGTGTCACAAGCTGTCCAGCAGGCTCCAAGTGCTGTCAAAAAGCAAACAGAGTGCTGTATTTTGCTCTAGTACTGATTAAGAAATTAAACAACATGTTGAAAGGCAAATATAGTAAATGGGTCAAAGTTCGTCAGTGTTGTATTGTAGTAAGGTAAAGCATAAAAATATGTTAATATATATTTGTTTAAAAGAAAGTAAAACAGCATACTCATTCAAGGTATGGTGAAGTTCCCAAAGTCACAGTTCCCCAAAAGAAGCAACATTCTAAAAGTAACAACCAACTTTTTATGAGAAAGAATGCAAATATAAGATTCTACAAGCTGAACCAAAATGACCCCTATGACAGGCAATAATTTATATTACCTTGTTAGGTTGGACCTAAATTCTTTTCAAGAAGATTACCCATTTATACAAGGTCTCTATATTTATTTGAAGCCGTCCCTGGGATCAGCCCACCTTGCTAACTAAAAGAAGTGACCCTTAAAAGGTTGCAGAGGAATCAATAGGAAGAGGATTGTAAATCTGAAAGTAACAAGGTTTGGGACTTTGTGCCAACCAACATACGTACATAGTTATACATACACATACATATCCTTTATTAAAAGTGTCTAGACGTTCTAGCGCCCATGGCACTTATTGGGGACACAGATAAAATACAATCTTATAAACAAATATTTCAAAAAATAAAACTTAAAAACTTTTTAAAAAATCATTGCTTACAGCATTTTTACATACCATGTGTAAAACAACAGAAAAGTTAAGCTGTTTTGGTTCTAGTAATGTCCTTGCATAATTTATGGAAACATATGATCCTTATGCTGCTGTTTGAGTAAGCCTTTCAGTAAATACTCCCTTTTTCTAAAAGCAGGTCACCTATAACTTTTACATGCATGTTTTTTTAAACCTTACACATACTACTGATAATAATAATACATTTATATAGCGCTATTTCCTAGTGGTTCAACAGCGCTTACATTCCCTTCTTCCTCTGGACAATGTGATTGTATTTATTTTGGAGAGGAGGGAGGAACAAGAGGCCTTAACCTTGTTACCACAAATTTCACTCCATTTCTGATCAATATCTTCCCTAGCTGTGCCAGCAAATGGCACAATAGAAAACCGTTATCCTGAATGATGCTTATCTGAAAAATGCCAGATGTTGAGAAATTTTTATGAAGAAAATAATTTTAAGCTACAGATGGGCTACTTTTATTAGGAATATCAACTATAATATGGAAAATATGTATGCCACAGATTGGTAAAGTCTTACATGAAAAAAATACCCGCCTTGTATAGCTCGGCTACTTTTATGAAAAATGTTAGCTATGTTAGGTTAATAAGTCAGATTAGTTGTGAGGTAGGCTTATTTAACTTTTATCCTTTAGAAACAGTTCTTATCATTTACACAGCAGCTAAGTTGTGAGGTGTGTCAACTATAACAATAAAATTTAAGAGTATATTGTTTTTGTCTTTTTGACTCCAGACAATCTGAAAGGAATGATGTTAATAGAATTATTTCATGCATAAAATGTTTCAATTATCTTACTTGTAATGATAGTCAATGTATATATTGCAGTCTATAATCCTCAACCTGAGAGCAGAATCACTTCAAATTGGGAGAGATCAAAGGGACTCTGTTTGCAGGATAATATTCCTTTGAAAGTCATAATCCTGTAGGTCATGTACCTTGTCCTCTTCAGCCTATAGTCAAAACTTTTTAATAAACACCAAAGAGACAAAGCTGAGTTTCCACATTATGGAGGTGCCATATTTCATTATTGAGATAGGTTATTATAGTAATTGGACCCAGTGGAGTACAATTCGGGAAATAAGCGCGCAAGTGATTTCAAGGCACCTCCGACTTGAAATTATGAGCACTCTTGATTACTCCCTGAATTGTGTGTCACAAGGTCCAGTTACTAATTAAATGTCAGTATGAATATCAAGTTTTGAAATTAAAAAGTCTTTTTAGCACTTTGTTTGAGTGAAAAGGTATCGAGTTACATATATCTAATATCAAAAAGTTGTCATTGGATACCTGTAATTATGTGACATATAGGTGCATGAAGAACCAGTGACGATCAATAATTTTGTTATAGATACAGTTGTATCAATTATGCCTTCACTTGACCTGTCCACTTTACAGACGTATTTCTTGGGCCACCTTGATTAACGGAAAATAATCCAACTCCGGGTTTTCCGTATTTGATATATTTTCTGAAATTGCAGAAATTATGAAACTTTTCTCTGGCTGAATTTTAATAATTTAACCCTTTTCGACAGTAGTCTGGAATAAATGGTATGCATTGTTTGTCTTTGCCATAAGAATGTTTTCTGTTTTTGCAATTTCCTATGTAATTTCCAACTTAACATAATTATATAAGCAACCATAAGGATAGATACCAGTAAAATGCCTTGCATGATTTTTACATGGCAACCAAATTTTTACTTCTGCTTCCTGTTACATTGGCATTTCAAGACTATTGTAGCCCTGCAGTAAAATATAGCCCATACCTCTCCCCGTGAGGTTTTGTGGCTTGAACCCAGCTGCCTTTTACAAATCATGTGTCTCGATTGATACACAAGTCAGTTGACACTTGGCCAACTATCAACCAACTGCCAACTGAGTGTTGATCGAGATGTCGATCAAGTGTCAGTCTAGTGTGGACCAAGTATCAATTGAGTGTCGATTGAGGGTAATCGATCGACACTCTACCAAGGATGCCTTTACTACACATGATCCACACAGATGGTAAATGTATAAACACCAACTTCTCAGAATTAATATTAGAAGAAACATTTGGCAATAATGTTAGTAAGAATTGAGTATGATTTTTGACAGTTTTTCTTGAAAAACTTTATTCTGTCACTTCTCAGTTCTCATGGAAACTCAAATAACAATTAAATATTTTTTTCAAATACAAAATATACTAGTGAAAATTTACAGTTGAAGTTCATTAGGTGTTTTTTTACAGAATTGTTGTGCAAAGTGTCCTCTTTTTTAAAATGTTCAGCTTGAATGATTAAATATATATTTTTTATACATAGTTGTTCAAAAAAGGAAATGCAAATTAGCATTAGATTAAGCTTCCAAAGTACCCCAAAAGTAACTTGTCTCTTTCTTCCTTTACACTATTTACACAAGCAATGTTTGTTTATTTTAACAATTTTTTCAATTGCTTTTCCTGCAGACTGCTGATGATCATCTATAATTTTTATAATGTTTGCTTAATTTTTCATTAATCTACTATGCTTTTCAAGAAGTACTGTTTCAAGAAACACTGTGTGAATAACACAATGTACATGTAACTATTCTGGGCAAAGAACAATATTTACAGGTTTAAGAATGAGTTTGCACATTTGATTTTATGTAAAAAGAAAGAGATTGAAAAGTCTAAACTCCTTTCAGAGACTGGCACATTCCTCTGGGGAGGGGAAGAAAGTCTATTTGGTCCTTACCAACAAGTTTTGATATGGTCATTCGGCATTGGTCCTGTAGTGACACATATCTACATGTGCTGTCACACAGTTCTATTTCAGAGAGTGTTGATGTTGATGAAATGATTGGATATAGTTCTGATGCTTTGTCGCACAGCCCAGTAAAAGCAACTCCTAAAGATCTTCCATTCTTGAAGTATGAAAGAGTTCCTGCATCCATATCAAGGAGTACGCCGATGACTGTTGAATCATAAAAAGGGTCACAGTAACTTCTAACCTGGCCATTGTGCCAGACCTTGCCTTTGTAAGATAACCCCCAACTTTGCTCGTCTCGTCCAATCAAATCTACAAACTCAAAGTCAGTTGTCTGAAGCAAAGCCTCTTTGGTCCCAACACCAATCATGATTGATGTACCAAAGACAGAACTCAGTTTAACCTCCCAATAGTGCTGACCGTGTGTAAAAGCCTTTGTACCCCGCACACCGGCTGTTCCCGTACTCTCAATGACAGGGTCAATATAGAAGCAGGCTACTTTGTTATTGAGGCAAAGATACACTGAAGGTGACTTGTCTTCACTGCTCCACACCCACTGTTCATGGTAGGTTTCGGACCAGGGATGGAAGGACTCTGAGCCATCACTTTGTTGCTTGGAAATATGTCCTGTAAATGACACAATCAAAATGAACCATCAATCAATATACAGATTACCACCAAGTAATTGCTCAGGTGCCAAAAATGATGTTGAAACTGCCGAGCACTTTTAAAAATAAAAAAAGCTGTCATAAATTTCATAGTGTGGTAAAGAAAAATACCCGGCGATTGCTGTCAAATTCCTTAACCTTCCTAACAAAAACCCAAACAAGTAATAGCGAACGAAATGGGGGCGTAGGTGTGTTAGCTAAAGAATGTTCACGACATCCAGCAGTTAAGAATAACAATTTTAGAATTGTTCAGTTGCCTGTTTTATCATAAAAGAAATATAATATTTGCTTGCACAAGCATATTTTAGTTCAGAAGGGCTTAGAGGCTTGACTTGGAATAGCCGGATGTTACTGTGGTTCGATCTTTTCTCCTCGGATACTACATACAGGTCCATGGAAGCTACTGTCTTGAAAAATGTTGCCACTGCTGCGGTAATTGAAATAAATCTAACTGCAACAAAATAATATTCATCTCTAAGAGCAAACTAAGAAGCAATATCGAGGTACCGATGCAGTACAATCTCAACGACGAAATCTACGATGCGACTTGACGGAAGGATGTAAACAAACTCGAAAAGTGCACCTTGTCACGAATTTGCTACAAACTACATGTACTACGACTGAAATCTAGAACTCAAAGGTTTAACTTCCAAGTGAAGAGTATATTGAGTTCCTTACCCATATTTCGATCCTGTTTTCTAAAACTTCAGCTGAGTGGCGTTTTAAATTTCTGCAACTTCAGGTGTTTGTTTTGGATGTGATCTACGGCCGCAATAATCGAATAGTAGGTTTCTGGATACAGAACAAGGTTTCCCGAGTCACAAAACAACTTTTTGTCTGAAAGACTTCCTGTTACTTTTTCGCTGACACAATCGATTCAATTTTCAAGAGCTTAGAAAAAATGAATGTTAATTTCTACTGATACATTTCATTTCGTATTTTGCGACATAAACAACTTTTCAAACCCAGTGGCCAACCTGATGTGATCTCGTGACCACCCAATGACGATTTTGATTGGCTACACTGAAGCCCGCCAAACCGGAAAGGCTTGATTCTGTGTACGTGTTTTGCGCTTTGTACGTGCAAAATGGCCACAAGTACCTTTTTTAAAAATTTTGCAATTGTTTTTCGAAAAATGACCTAGTTTTAGAACTCAAATCAAATTCCCCTACAAAGTGTAAAGAAATCTTCCACTTCCTTGTTCGCGTGGTCGTGTGTCTCTATTCTCCGTTGCACAATCGCAGACTTCTAATTCTACGAATTAACCAGGTTAGAAAATTGGAAGCGATTTCACACCATTCCATCACACAGGAATACTCAATTTTTCTGCCGGCAACCTGCGGGCTACTCTGCAGAGGTTAAGGGTCGCTGCACATTGGAACAATAACAACGTCATAGACAACAGTGTGTCGTGCGTGTTATACGACGTAACGAGAAAACACGCGCGTTTCTGAAACGTGCGGAACAACCACGTGTGCAAACGCACGTCCGCTCATTAACTTGTTCGTTCACATCTTGGCAAACTCTATTTTTGCCTGATCGAAAAGTGACAACTGTGAGCAGATGGTCACGAAACTTCACCTCTGCTTCACTCTTCAGAAAACACGTACAAAACATCGCGACATGCGCAGAGGCGACGACCGTAAGATATGTAAAACTAGTCATTCGGCCGCTTGTAAATTTAAATCTCCCAGAATGTCAAAGAGTACAATCTTTTAGAGGAGTTCCGCGTCCTCCTGGGTTTGTGGTGCAGTCCTTTTGGGAATTCCTGTCACCTCATTTCAAAAGGGGCTTTGTTTATAATATTTCCGTGCCATCTTGCATCACTTTACTGACGCAACAATGTTTACAGATACACCCTGAGTTACCCCCCACCCTTGGTTTTATTCGCCTCGAATTATTAATCTTTCTGGTTTTACTTTGAAATTTTTTACCTTAAACTGAACACCACTGGTTTCAACGAGTTTGGTGGCTTCAACTTTTACATTTTTAAACACTTTTTTGCGGATCGAAGGAAGAATTGTGCTTACGTGAGCCCGCGTGTTAAGCAGAAGGGCTGCTCAGCAGGCTACGCCTTAGGAATATCATTTTTCAACGAAAACAAACAGAACTAGATAACCGCCTCACGGCAAGTCAGTTGAACGAAGTACAGGGAAGAGACATTGTTTACAACTTCACAAGGAGAAGATTTTATCCCAAAGCTAATTGGGAATTTAGCCGTAAATCATGGCATTAGTCCACACAAGTTTCCGTGCAAACCCTTTCGAGAGCTCGAGACTATCACAACGCGAACTTCTCGAGCGCATTTTCAGCCAGCACGGAGATGCAGACGAGCATGTTCATCACATGGACTATGAAGAAAGCTCGAGCGACTCGGGCTCGGACTATGAAATGGAAGAATCTCACGAAGGTATGATTTCTGTGTTTTTGCTTGTAAAATGTGTCTTGGAGGGGAAATTCAAGGGCATAATTGTTGGTAAATGGGAAGGATTTTGGACCGAGAGTTACATCGGAAGTGTAAACAGCTTGCAAGCGAAGCTGACATATGTCCTTTTCGTCAAAAAGCATTTCAGCTCTTGGTTGTTTTAGCTTTCATTTTCATTGAGATGTTTCCCTTTTTCTTTGAAAGACTTGTTATGCTACGTCAGTTTGATATTGTGACTCTCAACGCTCGAAGGAATCGTTAAAGAAGAACTTTGTACCTGTGTGGGAAAATAAAATTTTTAGCGAAATTTGCATATCAGATTATATCATTCTAAAGGTGCCAAAACCAGCTGTCCCCTTTCTAGTCTGGATAAAAAGCAATTATATTTTGAGAGCAGAACCCCTTTCTGACAGCCTTATAAATTATTATCGGCAATTCTACTCGGAACAACTCAAAGCAATGTTAAAAGCTTCAATTTGTATTCTCCACGTACCTCGTAATTTAAAATGCGAGTTTCTGAATGGATTGTCATTGAGATAGATAGATGGAGATAGATAGATAGAACTATTAAAATTTTTCACATTTTCAAAGCTTTACTCCATCACCTGAACGCCTTATGTTTTACTTTAATGAATGAATTTGAACAAGAAAATAAACTAACTTTTCGACCTTGTGGCTGTCACGAACCATTGCGTGCTTTAGTTCACGAAATATCACATTCTTTTACGTCAGCCTTACAAGCTTGAATCTGTTTCCGGCAACTGAAAAGACACGTATGCTAAATGTCAATAAATAACCTTACTCGTTCCTCTTCTTGTCCTTGCAAAGTTAGCGACAATGAAATTGTATACTAGCATGTTGCTAACGTGTGATTACGACTAATTCATCACGGGAAAAATCCTGAGGTTTATACAACTACTGAGTGTGCATAGTTCCTGTAAAATTATAATTGGCAAAGAAATATTGAACCAGTAAAAAAGGTTATTAACAGTGCGTTTTGATGCCTTTGAGAAAAACAATATTTCTAAGAGATCAGGCATTCTTTCTCCTGCCTTGTAATAATTTTTGATGTAATGATATTGCATGGACATACTATGTTTTAAAGGTTTTTTCCTTCCCATTAATCTATTTGGTTAGTTTGCCAATCTGGAACACACTATTTTATGTTGAGAATGTTATTTTCTTTCACTGTTATTCAACACTGAGACTCTACTCAGGTGTTAAATATCTTTGTCATAGCCAAATTTGTCCTCGTTTCATTTTTCAACTCAAATACTTTCATTAACTTTTGCAGTTTCCCATAACTAATAATTCTAAGGCCAAAAAAATTGTGGATTACCAGTTGGAATTAAATTTCTGGCTATTCGTCAGTGCAATTTTAAATTATTCATGGTGAAAAAGGCTTCTGTTGACTAACATTGTCTTGTAAATAATCGATATTGTTGTTGGAAAATTGTATATTGGCAAGTGAAAAAATCAAATTTGCTCTTGCATTCATTGCAAAACCAGTTCACCACAAATGGAGAAAATGCAGATGCTTTTCTTTTCAACCTCATGTAAATTTTGTTTGAAAGGCATCTTGTAATAACGGGGGATCCAAAACAAATTACATTGGTGGCAAGTAATAACATCTAGCTGTTTCAGTGTGCGATAATCTGTCACAACATGCAGAATTCCGAAAAAAACAACAAAAGTTTTTATCTTGATAAAGTCCATAGAGAAAGCATGCAGGAAATAATTAGCATATCAATACTAACCATAGCTGGTTAAAATTACCTGTTGTCAGCTGATTAACTTGAAATCCCTGTCAATTGTTTCCAACTGTCTTAGTAGTCAAGTCCATGTTATTGCTTTTTAGCTGCAGGTTGAGAGATGGTACAGTTAAAGTGCTTGTTGGTCTACTAATGGTTGCCTTCCTTCTCCATGTCAAGACACTATGTCTTGATGAAAAAGGAAGTGTTTTTGAGGTTTAAAGGTAAAGTGAAATACCTATACTGACTTGGTTCTAATGTCAGTGTTGTGGTTGTGCTTGTTGGTGCCGTATTTGTGTGTTGTTGTTTTTGATGATGATGAGGATGATGACGTTCTCATTGTCAGTCGTAGTGTGTGTTTTACAAAAGATGGTTATTTGTGTATCTGTTTGTACCTTATTCATTGTCTTGTATGGGCTGCATCATTTACCAAAAGGAGTTTGAAATGATGTTTAGGCACTTCGAAATACAAAAATAGGTTGAAATTTTGACATCTTATTACTCTGTGATTCAATGGCTTTGTAATTAGCATTGCAGCCTATACAGAGGCATCATTAATAAATTAAAGGGAATGATTCTCAGTACCATTTAGTGTATCTCTGTTTTGAGTGGTTGACTTCCTTCCCCAGTTGAGACTTCAGAAGTCTTGATAAAAAAGGAAGAATAGGGCTTACATGTAGAACTGTGCTATGATTCATGTAAACTTTATCTGTTTTAAAACTGTCTGTGACATGTTTTAATTTTATTTAAAGATTGTGTTTTAGTTGATCTATGATTGATTGCTAGTATATTTTAGCATAACTTAAAATAAGTGTATCATTTGTTGAGTATATTACGTAACCATAGTTTGCATCTAAGCATGAGCAAGTCAGGAAAACATATGATCTATATGGCTATCAAATGTTGGGTGATTCCTTATCACTCATTTGGAGTATGGCAGGTCATAATACAACACCAGCTGTGATGTACTTTGGGGATGAAAGTTCATGTTACAAATTATCTACCAAAGTTCAAAGGGGTGATGACAAATCATGCAACGTTTAATACCCAGGGGTGCCGTTAACTTTTTCTGCAAGAGGGCAACTCATTTTCACAGGCTGACAAAACGTTTTGAACTGAACTTCTTTGTAAAAAAGGACTTTCCTCTAGACGTTCAAACCAGGCAGGCAAACCTGTCCTCACAGCCGGTCAATTTGCCTAGTGGGCGGCCCTTAATGAAACCCCTAAATTAACCCATTTATACAATGTTCTTTAATTTGTGACATATTCAATTCATATCAAGTTGAAGTCACCTTGGTACTTGCAACTGAATGGGAGCAATTTAAAGTGACCACCATTTTACAAACAAACAACCAGAGTGATGAAGATCTAATGACTCAAAAGTGTCAGCTGTCTCAATCTAACTAGTGATTAGTTTTAGTTTTCAAAGTTATTATTAATGTTACCTTTATTTAACCTTTGTCTTGTCCCTTATTCATCAGACTATGACTGGAAGTGGGATCCCACGACACTTTCATCGTCAGTATGCCTAACACGTAGTAATAAAGAAGTGTTGTTCCACCCTGATTACAGCTGTGGAACTGCAGCAGCAAAAGGCTCAGAGCCCCTTTGTCAGGGGGGAGAGTACTACTGGGAAATCAAGATGACCAGTGCAGTCTATGGTACAGACATGGTAGGTCATGTTCTCCACTACTGTTCTGGAACAATTTGAGTGAGACAAAAAAACAACAAGCAGTAGACATGACAAAGAGCTGGAAATGGCAACTGATGACTTGATAATGTTTTGCAACACTGAATACCTACCAGGACTGAATACACTATATTATACAATACTGGACACAGAAATTACACAAAAGATATAATTGTAACTGGTGACAAGCAATTATGATGCATTTGGGACAAGGCAGACCCGTTGACTCAGACAGACTTTATTGACTGGACATACTCAACAACTTGCAACTGCAACATCCACTCTGGAAAATCAAAATGGGTACTCTCGCCAGACAAAGGCATACTTTGCACAGACTCTCACTACGCTATTCAACTTGACATACACAGTTATAAGTCTTAAAGCATCCACTTAATGGAAAATCAAACAAATTAACACAGCTCTCAAACAGTTGGACAACAATGAGTGTACAGACCTCTACAANAAAAGTAACTTGTCTCTTTCTTCCTTTACACTATTTACACAAGCAATGTTTGTTTATTTTAACAATTTTTTCAATTGCTTTTCCTGCAGACTGCTGATGATCATCTATAATTTTTATAATGTTTGCTTAATTTTTCATTAATCTACTATGCTTTTCAAGAAGTACTGTTTCAAGAAACACTGTGTGAATAACACAATGTACATGTAACTATTCTGGGCAAAGAACAATATTTACAGGTTTAAGAATGAGTTTGCACATTTGATTTTATGTAAAAAGAAAGAGATTGAAAAGTCTAAACTCCTTTCAGAGACTGGCACATTCCTCTGGGGAGGGGAAGAAAGTCTATTTGGTCCTTACCAACAAGTTTTGATATGGTCATTCGGCATTGGTCCTGTAGTGACACATATCTACATGTGCTGTCACACAGTTCTATTTCAGAGAGTGTTGATGTTGATGAAATGATTGGATATAGTTCTGATGCTTTGTCGCACAGCCCAGTAAAAGCAACTCCTAAAGATCTTCCATTCTTGAAGTATGAAAGAGTTCCTGCATCCATATCAAGGAGTACGCCGATGACTGTTGAATCATAAAAAGGGTCACAGTAACTTCTAACCTGGCCATTGTGCCAGACCTTGCCTTTGTAAGATAACCCCCAACTTTGCTCGTCTCGTCCAATCAAATCTACAAACTCAAAGTCAGTTGTCTGAAGCAAAGCCTCTTTGGTCCCAACACCAATCATGATTGATGTACCAAAGACAGAACTCAGTTTAACCTCCCAATAGTGCTGACCGTGTGTAAAAGCCTTTGTACCCCGCACACCGGCTGTTCCCGTACTCTCAATGACAGGGTCAATATAGAAGCAGGCTACTTTGTTATTGAGGCAAAGATACACTGAAGGTGACTTGTCTTCACTGCTCCACACCCACTGTTCATGGTAGGTTTCGGACCAGGGATGGAAGGACTCTGAGCCATCACTTTGTTGCTTGGAAATATGTCCTGTAAATGACACAATCAAAATGAACCATCAATCAATATACAGATTACCACCAAGTAATTGCTCAGGTGCCAAAAATGATGTTGAAACTGCCGAGCACTTTTAAAAATAAAAAAAGCTGTCATAAATTTCATAGTGTGGTAAAGAAAAATACCCGGCGATTGCTGTCAAATTCCTTAACCTTCCTAACAAAAACCCAAACAAGTAATAGCGAACGAAATGGGGGCGTAGGTGTGTTAGCTAAAGAATGTTCACGACATCCAGCAGTTAAGAATAACAATTTTAGAATTGTTCAGTTGCCTGTTTTATCATAAAAGAAATATAATATTTGCTTGCACAAGCATATTTTAGTTCAGAAGGGCTTAGAGGCTTGACTTGGAATAGCCGGATGTTACTGTGGTTCGATCTTTTCTCCTCGGATACTACATACAGGTCCATGGAAGCTACTGTCTTGAAAAATGTTGCCACTGCTGCGCTAATTGAAATAAATCTAACTGCAACAAAATAATATTCATCTCTAAGAGCAAACTAAGAAGCAATATCGAGGTACCGATGCAGTACAATCTCAACGACGAAATCTACGATGCGACTTGACGGAAGGATGTAAACAAACTCGAAAAGTGCACCTTGTCACGAATTTGCTACAAACTACATGTACTACGACTGAAATCTAGAACTCAAAGGTTTAACTTCCAAGTGAAGAGTATATTGAGTTCCTTACCCATATTTCGATCCTGTTTTCTAAAACTTCAGCTGAGTGGCGTTTTAAATTTCTGCAACTTCAGGTGTTTGTTTTGGATGTGATCTACGGCCGCAATAATCGAATAGTAGGTTTCTGGATACAGAACAAGGTTTCCCGAGTCACAAAACAACTTTTTGTCTGAAAGACTTCCTGTTACTTTTTCGCTGACACAATCGATTCAATTTTCAAGAGCTTAGAAAAAATGAATGTTAATTTCTACTGATACATTTCATTTCGTATTTTGCGACATAAACAACTTTTCAAACCCAGTGGCCAACCTGATGTGATCTCGTGACCACCCAATGACGATTTTGATTGGCTACACTGAAGCCCGCCAAACCGGAAAGGCTTGATTCTGTGTACGTGTTTTGCGCTTTGTACGTGCAAAATGGCCACAAGTACCTTTTTTAAAAATTTTGTATTTCTTAGCTTAGGATTCTTAGCAATTGTTTTTCGAAAAATGACCTAGTTTTAGAACTCAAATCAAATTCCCCTACAAAGTGTAAAGAAATCTTCCACTTCCTTGTTCGCGTGGTCGTGTGTCTCTATTCTCCGTTGCACAATCGCAGACTTCTAATTCTACGAATTAACCAGGTTAGAAAATTGGAAGCGATTTCACACCATTCCATCACACAGGAATACTCAATTTTTCTGCCGGCAACCTGCGGGCTACTCTGCAGAGGTTAAGGGTCGCTGCACATTGGAACAATAACAACGTCATAGACAACAGTGTGTCGTGCGTGTTATACGACGTAACGAGAAAACACGCGCGTTTCTGAAACGTGCGGAACAACCACGTGTGCAAACGCACGTCCGCTCATTAACTTGTTCGTTCACATCTTGGCAAACTCTATTTTTGCCTGATCGAAAAGTGACAACTGTGAGCAGATGGTCACGAAACTTCACCTCTGCTTCACTCTTCAGAAAACACGTACAAAACATCGCGACATGCGCAGAGGCGACGACCGTAAGATATGTAAAACTAGTCATTCGGCCGCTTGTAAATTTAAATCTCCCAGAATGTCAAAGAGTACAATCTTTTAGAGGAGTTCCGCGTCCTCCTGGGTTTGTGGTGCAGTCCTTTTGGGAATTCCTGTCACCTCATTTCAAAAGGGGCTTTGTTTATAATATTTCCGTGCCATCTTGCATCACTTTACTGACGCAACAATGTTTACAGATACACCCTGAGTTACCCCCCACCCTTGGTTTTATTCGCCTCGAATTATTAATCTTTCTGGTTTTACTTTGAAATTTTTTACCTTACACTGAACACCACTGGTTTCAACGAGTTTGGTGGCTTCAACTTTTACATTTTTAAACACTTTTTTGCGGATCGAAGGAAGAATTGTGCTTACGTGAGCCCGCGTGTTAAGCAGAAGGGCTGCTCAGCAGGCTACGCCTTAGGAATATCATTTTTCAACGAAAACAAACAGAACTAGATAACCGCCTCACGGCAAGTCAGTTGAACGAAGTACAGGGAAGAGACATTGTTTACAACTTCACAAGGAGAAGATTTTATCCCAAAGCTAATTGGGAATTTAGCCGTAAATCATGGCATTAGTCCACACAAGTTTCCGTGCAAACCCTTTCGAGAGCTCGAGACTATCACAACGCGAACTTCTCGAGCGCATTTTCAGCCAGCACGGAGATGCAGACGAGCATGTTCATCACATGGACTATGAAGAAAGCTCGAGCGACTCGGGCTCGGACTATGAAATGGAAGAATCTCACGAAGGTATGATTTCTGTGTTTTTGCTTGTAAAATGTGTCTTGGAGGGGAAATTCAAGGGCATAATTGTTGGTAAATGGGAAGGATTTTGGACCGAGAGTTACATCGGAAGTGTAAACAGCTTGCAAGCGAAGCTGACATATGTCCTTTTCGTCAAAAAGCATTTCAGCTCTTGGTTGTTTTAGCTTTCATTTTCATTGAGATGTTTCCCTTTTTCTTTGAAAGACTTGTTATGCTACGTCAGTTTGATATTGTGACTCTCAACGCTCGAAGGAATCGTTAAAGAAGAACTTTGTACCTGTGTGGGAAAATAAAATTTTTAGCGAAATTTGCATATCAGATTATATCATTCTAAAGGTGCCAAAACCAGCTGTCCCCTTTCTAGTCTGGATAAAAAGCAATTATATTTTGAGAGCAGAACCCCTTTCTGACAGCCTTATAAATTATTATCGGCAATTCTACTCGGAACAACTCAAAGCAATGTTAAAAGCTTCAATTTGTATTCTCCACGTACCTCGTAATTTAAAATGCGAGTTTCTGAATGGATTGTCATTGAGATAGATAGATGGAGATAGATAGATAGAACTATTAAAATTTTTCACATTTTCAAAGCTTTACTCCATCACCTGAACGCCTTATGTTTTACTTTAATGAATGAATTTGAACAAGAAAATAAACTAACTTTTCGACCTTGTGGCTGTCACGAACCATTGCGTGCTTTAGTTCACGAAATATCACATTCTTTTACGTCAGCCTTACAAGCTTGAATCTGTTTCCGGCAACTGAAAAGACACGTATGCTAAATGTCAATAAATAACCTTACTCGTTCCTCTTCTTGTCCTTGCAAAGTTAGCGACAATGAAATTGTATACTAGCATGTTGCTAACGTGTGATTACGACTAATTCATCACGGGAAAAATCCTGAGGTTTATACAACTACTGAGTGTGCATAGTTCCTGTAAAATTATAATTGGCAAAGAAATATTGAACCAGTAAAAAAGGTTATTAACAGTGCGTTTTGATGCCTTTGAGAAAAACAATATTTCTAAGAGATCAGGCATTCTTTCTCCTGCCTTGTAATAATTTTTGATGTAATGATATTGCATGGACATACTATGTTTTAAAGGTTTTTTCCTTCCCATTAATCTATTTGGTTAGTTTGCCAATCTGGAACACACTATTTTATGTTGAGAATGTTATTTTCTTTCACTGTTATTCAACACTGAGACTCTACTCAGGTGTTAAATATCTTTGTCATAGCCAAATTTGTCCTCGTTTCATTTTTCAACTCAAATACTTTCATTAACTTTTGCAGTTTCCCATAACTAATAATTCTAAGGCCAAAAAAATTGTGGATTACCAGTTGGAATTAAATTTCTGGCTATTCGTCAGTGCAATTTTAAATTATTCATGGTGAAAAAGGCTTCTGTTGACTAACATTGTCTTGTAAATAATCGATATTGTTGTTGGAAAATTGTATATTGGCAAGTGAAAAAATCAAATTTGCTCTTGCATTCATTGCAAAACCAGTTCACCACAAATGGAGAAAATGCAGATGCTTTTCTTTTCAACCTCATGTAAATTTTGTTTGAAAGGCATCTTGTAATAACGGGGGATCCAAAACAAATTACATTGGTGGCAAGTAATAACATCTAGCTGTTTCAGTGTGCGATAATCTGTCACAACATGCAGAATTCCGAAAAAAACAACAAAAGTTTTTATCTTGATAAAGTCCATAGAGAAAGCATGCAGGAAATAATTAGCATATCAATACTAACCATAGCTGGTTAAAATTACCTGTTGTCAGCTGATTAACTTGAAATCCCTGTCAATTGTTTCCAACTGTCTTAGTAGTCAAGTCCATGTTATTGCTTTTTAGCTGCAGGTTGAGAGATGGTACAGTTAAAGTGCTTGTTGGTCTACTAATGGTTGCCTTCCTTCTCCATGTCAAGACACTATGTCTTGATGAAAAAGGAAGTGTTTTTGAGGTTTAAAGGTAAAGTGAAATACCTATACTGACTTGGTTCTAATGTCAGTGTTGTGGTTGTGCTTGTTGGTGCCGTATTTGTGTGTTGTTGTTTTTGATGATGATGAGGATGATGACGTTCTCATTGTCAGTCGTAGTGTGTGTTTTACAAAAGATGGTTATTTGTGTATCTGTTTGTACCTTATTCATTGTCTTGTATGGGCTGCATCATTTACCAAAAGGAGTTTGAAATGATGTTTAGGCACTTCGAAATGCAAAAATAGGTTGAAATTTTGACATCTTATTACTCTGTGATTCAATGGCTTTGTAATTAGCATTGCAGCCTATACAGAGGCATCATTAATAAATTAAAGGGAATGATTCTCAGTACCATTTAGTGTATCTCTGTTTTGAGTGGTTGACTTCCTTCCCCAGTTGAGACTTCAGAAGTCTTGATAAAAAAGGAAGAATAGGGCTTACATGTAGAACTGTGCTATGATTCATGTAAACTTTATCTGTTTTAAAACTGTCTGTGACATGTTTTAATTTTATTTAAAGATTGTGTTTTAGTTGATCTATGATTGATTGCTAGTATATTTTAGCATAACTTAAAATAAGTGTATCATTTGTTGAGTATATTACGTAACCATAGTTTGCATCTAAGCATGAGCAAGTCAGGAAAACATATGATCTATATGGCTATCAAATGTTGGGTGATTCCTTATCACTCATTTGGAGTATGGCAGGTCATAATACAACACCAGCTGTGATGTACTTTGGGGATGAAAGTTCATGTTACAAATTATCTACCAAAGTTCAAAGGGGTGATGACAAATCATGCAACGTTTAATACCCAGGGGTGCCGTTAACTTTTTCTGCAAGAGGGCAACTCATTTTCACAGGCTGACAAAACGTTTTGAACTGAACTTCTTTGTAAAAAAGGACTTTCCTCTAGACGTTCAAACCAGGCAGGCAAACCTGTCCTCACAGCCGGTCAATTTGCCTAGTGGGCGGCCCTTAATGAAACCCCTAAATTAACCCATTTATACAATGTTCTTTAATTTGTGACATATTCAATTCATATCAAGTTGAAGTCACCTTGGTACTTGCAACTGAATGGGAGCAATTTAAAGTGACCACCATTTTACAAACAAACAACCAGAGTGATGAAGATCTAATGACTCAAAAGTGTCAGCTGTCTCAATCTAACTAGTGATTAGTTTTAGTTTTCAAAGTTATTATTAATGTTACCTTTATTTAACCTTTGTCTTGTCCCTTATTCATCAGACTATGACTGGAAGTGGGATCCCACGACACTTTCATCGTCAGTATGCCTAACACGTAGTAATAAAGAAGTGTTGTTCCACCCTGATTACAGCTGTGGAACTGCAGCAGCAAAAGGCTCAGAGCCCCTTTGTCAGGGGGGAGAGTACTACTGGGAAATCAAGATGACCAGTGCAGTCTATGGTACAGACATGGTAGGTCATGTTCTCCACTACTGTTCTGGAACAATTTGAGTGAGACAAAAAAACAACAAGCAGTAGACATGACAAAGAGCTGGAAATGGCAACTGATGACTTGATAATGTTTTGCAACACTGAATACCTACCAGGACTGAATACACTATATTATACAATACTGGACACAGAAATTACACAAAAGATATAATTGTAACTGGTGACAAGCAATTATGATGCATTTGGGACAAGGCAGACCCGTTGACTCAGACAGACTTTATTAACTGGACATACTCAACAACTTGCAACTGCAACATCCACTCTGGAAAATCAAAATGGGTACTCTCGCCAGACAAAGGCATACTTTGCACAGACTCTCACTACGCTATTCAACTTGACATACACAGTTATAAGTCTTAAAGCATCCACTTAATGGAAAATCAAACAAATTAACACAGCTCTCAAACAGTTGGACAACAATGAGTGTACAGACCTCTACAACTGACAGGAACTGTTGACATACTGTATCCTTTTAATATAGCTGTTGATTAATTCTTCATTAATGCCATAACATAATAAAGCATACATGTATAGTGAAGTCAGGTGATGTGTAGTTTCTGACACAAAAATCAGTTGCAGAAAATTATGTTACTCCTAGGACAGAATTATTTTTGCCGAGGATGATTTTAATCAAATGTGATATAAGTTTATAATAATAGTACACTTGGCCAAGGGATTGTGCCCTTCATGTCCTATAAATCTGTTTTGTATTGGTTTCCAGTTATGTTAGTAGATGTTCCCATGGAATTAAGTGTCAATACCTTAATCATGACAATCCCCCTTATTTAGTTTATTATAATGTATTGTAAATTGAGTGCATTTCTTGTGACTGTTCTCTTTGTAACATCGCCAAAATAGCCCACTGATCTAGTCATCCATGTAGATCTAGAGCTATTTCAGTTAATAATGTTATGAGAGAACAGACTCACAAGAAAAACTGACCTCCTTTTGTAAGTTGATTGGCAGGTCAGTTGGTTGTGATGAAAGACTCAATTTGTGGTTCATTTCTTAACAGATGCTGGGAGTATGCACCAGTGACTTGGATGTAACACAATACAAAACATCTTTCTGTAGCCTCATTGGCAAGGATAGTAACAGCTGGGGGCTATCTTACATTGGTAATTTTCATCATAAAGGAAAAACCCAGAAATACACCTCAAGGTTTGACCATGGTGCAGTAATTGGAGTTCATTTGGATGCGTGGCATGGAAAACTGTCATTCTTTAAAGACAATGAGCCCCTAGGTGTGGCAGCGAAAGGACTTACTGGGAAAACACTTTATCCCATTGTATCTTCGACTGCAGCTAGAACAAAGATGAAGTTACAACGTAGTTCGTCAACATGTTTTTCGCTGAAATATATTTGTTGTGCAGCTATTGGTAAAAGTCTACCAAATTTTGAAGCACTCCAGTCTCTACCCATCCCCCCAGGAGTCAAAAGGCATCTTTGTAATGAACTTGATTGGATCTTGAAGGTCCATTTACCTTCACAAGGGAACAGTGATGATGATGTGTGATATCAAGGCATTTAAAGTATTTATTTTATAAAAAAAAAATTAGTTTCATGTACATAGCAATGGACTCAGTAGCTTCTGTCTGTAAGACTGACCTGCAAGAGTGGCTGAGCTGGTATGATAAAGGTCATAAAATTCTTGACTAGCTGAGATAGATTCTCAATGTTTTGTTGACACGATTAGCGGCTGCATGAATGAATTGATTAGACTTCTCTTTAGTAAAGCTGGCTGGCAATAGCTAAATTATTTGCTATCATGCTATTATTTTCCTAAATGAATACAGTGGGAGTAAGTTATAGTCATGCGGTACGAATGTGTTAAAGTAAAGCTGACTGGAAATGTTGAATTGCTAAATTATTTTCTTTGCTGCTGTTCTTAATGTAGTCTTTTTTGAGTAAGATTGCAAGATCCCTGCTTTTTTAGAATATGATTCTCCAATCCCTGAACACAGTAAAGAAATGACAAATTTATGGGACATGGGTCAGCAGTGTAGTACCCAAGTGCTTGGCAAAGCTTAAAATTGGCTTTAAGTTAAGTTAAATGACAGGCTTAGAAGTTTTGGTGTTATTGTTTTTTTTACTGGGGAAGTTATATGTAAGATTTCTATTTTGAATTTGTTTACAAAATGTTGGTAAAAAAAGAGAATATTTGAACAGAGGATAAGACAGATAGCTAATAGGAAAATATTTATTATTGACTATTTTGAATTCTGTTGTGTACACGTGTATGATATGTTCATTTGATATTGTTATGGAAATAGAAGGGAGAAAATCGTGTAAGATATGCCAGATAATTTGGTATTTGCTGCAGCCATACTGATCTGCTTAATATTCCTTGAAAAAACAAAATTATCTATATTTTTGTTGACCAGTCAAAAAAGTTTTGATCACTCTAATCGAAATAAAGTATTTGTTGAGTTATCGAAAGTGTAATTTGACTTGACAGTATACGTAGTAAATTGGTTTCATATTACTTAAATACTTTATTTTTTGACCTGATAATTTGCAATCAAAGACACACACTAGCTACACAATAGCAAATTAAATCTTTTGACTTTGATCCTCCACCACAATACCAGTATCTTTTCCCTTAGCTCACTGAGCAAGAACCGAACAATAAGTGAGAGCAAAAATGATCATGGGAACACAAGGTGGCGTGACTGTTTCCCCAGGGAGGACTCGCATATTAACAGGATGGAGGTGCTCGTTGAAAATTTCGAAGAGAACCCCTAATAGGTACCAAGATAATGTCTTGTGAAGATGGCTTGAAATTTCTTTTCACCCCTAAGAGGTACCAATTCTAAACTCACCTTTTTTCGGCTCAATACCCCAAAAGGTACCCCAAAAAGGTACCGCAAAAAGGTACCCCAAAAGGTACCCGAAAAAGGTACCGCAAAAGCTCCCTAAGAGGTACCAAAACCGCTTTTTTTAACCCCTAAAAGGTATGACGAGCATCCCCGTCCTTTTAAATGGGAGTTCCCCGGGATTGTTTCACCCCCAAGCTGTTACACTTCTTTTTCTCTAAATGCTCAATCAACCAGCGGAAAAGAGGTAGATGAGATACTGCTCGTTGTCTTAATTCCCAACCAAAAATTAAGAAATCAATGTCAACCAGCACTTCAAATTTATTTACTAGTCTGAATCGGTCTAGAGGCTAACTGTCACCAGATAGACTCCAAATGGTCTTTTGCACTCATTTGTGTTCTCTGAACAGATCTGCGATCAGTCGTTCTTTTGTTTTGTTTTTTTTGGCGAACGAGGAAAGGAAACAAACAAACAAAAAAACTTTTCCCGTTCGCCTAAAAAGAACGCCTGATCGCAGGTTTTTGCGTGACGATCCATGACGCCGCCTTAATCGCCCCAAAATTAGCAGGGCGGCGCGTGTGCGATTTGCTCTTTTACAAGCACGTAACGCGTGAATTTCCGTGATAAGTGAGCGTTCTTTGATTTTTAGAATAGAAGGAAGAGGTCTGGAAGGATGCCATTCATTCAAGGTAAGTAGAGTCTAAAAAACATCAATAAACCGTAGCAGACGTGACACCATTGTCTGGTCGTTTTCGTCCTTTTCTTGTCCTGGGGACTTCGATGACTCTTCCAAGAACTTCGTGGATCTTCATGGTACTGTAGATACTGTAGGACCCCGTAGGTCCAAAGAATTGTGACACTAGGAATAAGTCAAAATAGTTAAAATTTGCACAAGAACTATGAGTTTCAGTGTTATTTTCGTCCATTTGGCCGTGGTGGTGCGTCAGACCCCTCCGGGGGCGGGGTTCCTCCAGAAAAATTGAGTAGGGGTGTGCGGCCCGCTTCCCAAAACCCTTACCCTATTTATGACCAAAATCTGCGATATTCCCTACCCTATCTATGACCTGACCAAAAATTCGAAACCCTATTTATGACCTGACCCTTAAATCAAAACCCTGTTTCAGACCTGCGTTATGATTGGTTCCCTAGTTCAGACCAATGTTAAGTTACCATAAACATAATTTGTGAAGAGCTTTTGTTGGTTTTCCTTTCGACAATGATGAAAAAGTGGCTTCTTCTTAAAAACTTACCCATGTGAAGGCTAGAGTGCAAAAACCATACCCTATTTATGACCAAAATCAGCTAAATTCTATACCCTATTTATGACCAAAACGGCTGAAAAACCATACCCTTTGGGGCCGCACATACCTATGTAGCCCATATAAGGGAGTACCCCCCCGGGGTCAGACCATATCCGAATCCGACTATCGTATGAAAGGTCTGAAAGGATGTCGTCCCAAACGGGCTGAAACGAAAAGAGACGTTAGAAGCTGTTAGAGGGGGCGTAGACGTCTTCTCAATTCGTATACAAGATCAAATTTGCCTGTAAACAGGCTCCCGATTGTGTCAAAGGGGAAGGAAAAACAGGCGGGCAGAGCCAGCCGAGATCGAGAGCCTGAGAGCGTTACCAAGCCGGGAAAATTCCCACCCCGCTAAGCTCGCATCTCTCGCCTAATTTTTTTCGCACTCATCGGGAGCCTGTCTACAAACAATGCTAACTCTCCCAGATTATCCAGACTGAATCTCCTGGTCTGCCTTAAGGTGGAATGGTCCCCTAAAATGGACCAAAAAGTTTGTTTAAATATGGTGAAGACAGATCAATCCGCCTTAGGAAAAAAGATGGCGATTGGTACGTTTACCCATAATTCTTAGCTAAAGGAAACTTAAAAAACGCTCCTAAAAACGTACATAAACGTTCTAAAACCTTCAAACGGAAACCTAACATACACAATTTCGATAGCACAGGGCCAAATACCGCAAAAATCTGGCTTTCCTTGTACTTTACAGGTTGTATTAGGCTCGCATGGTATTGTGGTAAACTGTACAGCCGCCATCTTTTTTCCTACGGAGGATTGCGCGCGATTGCACTCATGAAGAGAAAATAGATTTTGAAGGTTTTATTGAAAATGGTTGCTATGGCAACCAGCTACAGCCTTTTTAGGTTTTAGTCTATAACATTGACGCCAACAGTTCCTGCTCTTTGACAAAACAAGATTTGATTTTCAAACAAGCATATCTTGTAAGTTTCTGTTTCATTCTATGCAATAAACTAAAGTTTTTGCAGATAACTCTTGTTCTCCGTGCTTTCTACAGGCTTTATTTGTAAATTACCTTATTTTGCACCAAACCCAGGGAACAAATTACCTAGTGTCACGTGACAGACGTTAAAATGTTATGAATTTTTTAGTTTATTGCATCACGACGCTATTGGTCTTTGATTACCCCAAATTTCAGGAATGGCCGGAGACCAAGAGTAGAAACTTGGCGTGAAGTCAGTTGATGCCAAAGTAGACCTTTGGGAAAAAATTCTTGTTTCAAGTTTCCTGCATGATGGATTAAGCATTTAGCAAGCCAAACATTGCTGGGGAAGGTGCAGATTGGATCTTGGCGGGGGGGGGGGGGGGGGGGGGGGGGGGGGG